TGCCGCGGTTACCTGTACTCCACCGGCAGGCTCCAGCTCTGGCTGCCGCTTTCACGAAAAACTCCCCAAAAGCCCAAGCGCCCGGTCCTGCCGGCGCTGACAGAGCCCCGCGGATGGCGGGGGGAAGCACCCGCCGCGGCCAGGGCCCGTGAAATTCTTCCTCAACGCACCCGTTTCAACAGAAAAAAAAGACTAAGCCTTTAAAAAAATGAGGGGAAAACAAATCACTCCTCAAATACATATATACAGTTCCCAGAATTAAGTCACATGTGGAATATCCGAACCACAGCATAAAACATACAAACCCTTAGTCAGAAGTGAGTGCTTTGTGTTTATTGCTACAGTGCTGAAGTAGAGGGGGTTTTGCTTCTAATAATTACCAACAAGTCATTTCTTTCATTGACATTTAAAGCCTCCACAATAGTTTAAAATACTTAAATTATTACTGTTCTACACAGCCAGAAGGTTTGGATGCGTGAAGCCAAACACGTGTTGTTAAAGCCATAGAAATGCACCTTCTCTGTATCACTTTTAGCAGTTGACTTAATTTTTTGCTACACAAGTGCAAATAAAGATACAATTGTTGTTTTTCCAAAGTATTTGAAATTAGGTGCTAATTTAGCAAGTATAAGGTTTCCTACTTGAAATGTATACATAGTTCAGAGAAAGATTTGAAGTAACACAGATCTATGTCTATTTCAACAACATAATAATCCCAACATTTTTTAAAATGCAGCTGAATATTAACTGTTATCACAGAAGACGACAAAATAGATCCTCCCTTACTGCTCACTTATAAGAAGGTTTCTTCTTTAGAAAGACAAAGTATAAGGTTTCCTACTTGAAATGTATACATAGTTCAGAGAAAGATTTGAAGTAACACAGATCTATGTCTATTTCAACAACATAATAATCCCAACATTTTTTAAAATGCAGCTGAATATTAACTGTTATCACAGAAGACGACAAAATAGATCCTCCCTTACTGCTCACTTATAAGAAGGTTTCTTCTTTAGAAAGACAAAGCTCCTAAAATCTTTTTTAAAGTATAACATAAGCCATAAATGCTGTAAGACAATATTTCTATGTCTTAAATGTCCTTCCAACAAAATAGTTATGGTGGGTTAATAGTCACAGAAAAAATTATCTAGACTTGATTTAAACAGTGAATATATTTCGAAAGATTGGGCCAGCGATTGCTTATGGAGCAGATGTGGCCTACTAGAAAGCATATGAAACTCAAACTGATTTTCAAGCACAGAGGTTCATTAAAGTCCTTTCAAGTTCTGAAAATCTTGGACTAGCGTTTTCCAGTGATCTTCACAGCTGCAAATTCTGGATTTCCTGATAAGCTCTACCTATGAAGAATCAGTGCCTAGCGTGCTATTAAATACACCCTGCACATCACAGATCTTCCATTCAAATGTATCATTTCCTATACATACATTCATTTCATCGGCAGGGTCGGCAGAAACAGCTGTACAAAGCTGTGCCGGCTGCTTGAAACTATGGAGCCCTGAAAACCAGGAAGTTTGCTCCTATGCGATAGAGACAATTCAGCAGTACATTGCTTCCCACCACTTCTAAAGTGCTCTTTGGAATTAGATATACTTTATGCTACACAGTAGTTTTGTTGCATTCATAGCCACAGAATTCCTATGAAATGCTTGGGCCTTCCAGTCACCATTTGCTTGATAGGGAATGAAGGCGTTCAGGTCTAGTAAAGAAGAAACAAAATGCATCTTTGTGCAGCTTGTGCAGGTCAATAAAGTGACCAAGCAATCAACAGGATACTTAATCCTACAAAAAGCCAGACTAGACTATGAACTTTGGCTGTTATTTTAAACTTTGGTGTTATTTTTGAACCAATGAAACTATTTTGAATATTAAATTGTAATTTAGAAATGGTTTTAGGCTTTGTGCTAAGTCAGTACCTGATGGCTTGCTATATTTTTTGCTAAATTAATTCAATCGAGAAAAAGGCAAATGGTATTTCTGTAAGGAAAGGTCTTCCCTCAGGTGCAATATCAAGGACAGCAACAAAAATCCTGGCTCTCTAAGCCAATAGCAATCTCTTAAAATAAACAGAATTAGGATTTCATGCAACAGCTCTGTATCTCTGCCTTATACTAGAAGCATGCCGAACAGCACATCTGAAATTCTTTGGGGGCAAGAATGATCCCTCTGAAAGCAAGATTTGACCCCTCAATTTTATCATGGTGAACCTCCAGCTATTTGTTTCATGATGCCTGCATTGTAATCATTCAAGTTTTAAACTTAGTAGCGCAGACTTAGAAGCACTGATTACAATAGCTTCTACGATATAAAGTCTGCAATGCTATAAAATTAGTAGCATAGGCTACTAGAGTCAGAAATGGACATTTCCCTGTGGTGAATTAGTCCATTATTGCCTCGTAAGCCACCTTCTGCAGCATCTGATCACAGCCCTGATCCACAGACCACACTTTTGCTCCGGTCTAGCCATTTCTCTACTCCCCCACCAGCTTCTCAAAGGCAGCTCCAGGCCTTTTTTATCCAAGGGGGATGAAGGAATACATTCTGTAAGGGACTTAACACAGAGAAACAAGATAAAGTGATTATCCTTAAGGGCCATTCACTCTTCCGTTTGTAAAGGAGAGAGTTCTGCATCCAATACATTACACGCCTAGACAGAAATCAGTAGGGAAAAGAGTTGCTGAGTGCACCACTCTGCTGACAGGGGTGTTAAACTTCCAGCTGCTTGCCCATCTTGCTGAGGGCATCGCTGACAACGTCCAGCTCATGACGTAGCTCATTCACCACGCT